TGGGCCCAATATCATGAATTTCCCAACATCGATCATTGATCATCGTTTTTATTTGAACAGGTTTTTCCTTTACTTTAGGGTGGCATCAGGGATCTACGGTGATCTACCACTCCAATTCCATAGGTGGTCGATTCAAGTAAAACTTGTGGATTTTAAATTCCAATTCCAATTCCATAGGTGGTCGATTCCATAGGTCGTCTTAGTAAGTTAATAGGAGTTTAACGAGGCTGCTCTGTTAATAATGGTCTAATTGGTTGAACCAGCCATTAAAAGACAAAAAAACAATAAAACCCAATAATACTTCTCTCTCATTGAAACTCCCCTCCCATTGTGTCTCAAGTCTCAACATACTGTAACTAGACCACCAGCCACTACAACAATCAACGTTCAACGTGAGGCATAACCGACAACCGGAGACCGACAATAAATTCTTCTTCTTCTCTTTCTCCTCCACCTTCTTCTTCTTCTTCCCCTTTTCTTGTTCTTTTTCTCATTTTTATCGACAACAATCCTCTGAAATCTTAAGGCCATGTCCCAGAACCCCAACACCCTCTGTCTGATCCGGCGGCAAGGAATCAACCGCTACCGGTTGTTGCTGGAGCAAAGTAAGCCTAACCTTCAAAATTAAGATAATTAAAGTAGGCTAAGCTCTGACATTGGAGGGGGAGAAAAGGAATGCATGAATAAAGCCGAATTGCTACTTGAGGTATTAGGAAAGAAAATCCATCCAGGGACAGTTAAAAAAAAAAAAATCAGTTGTTCGTCATTACCTTCAGTTCTTGCTTTCTCCTATTCCTTGAATAGCACAAAAAAAAGGGCAATCAAAACTATACAGTTAAACCTCATTTCTAGTAGCTTAGATTTTCTAAGAGCATTTAAACACTTGAAATTATGGACTGAATAATCCAAGAAGCAATCGACCGTAGCACAATTACATGAAGTTTGGATTACAGTCAATCCCAATCCTGACACATAGAAGTTGGTAGCAAAAGCTTAACTGAAAGTCTGAATACAAAAGCAAAAAACATTGATCACACGATGCATGAAATCAGCTAATATGTTGGTGGCAATGCAAGAGCGAGTGTTCCGATTGATTTCGGCCTTCTTCTTCGTTGTTTTCCGATTTTTCTTTTTCTACCTACATATCCTGCACTTCCATTCCGTCTGTAATAGGAAGAGAAGAAGATGATGATGATGATTTTACCTGATCATTGGTCTCCCAACTTAGTTGCTGTGGTTTGATGCTGAAAGACGATGAGAGGGAAATTCAAATTGAGGAGGTTGTTGTTTTTCACTTTTTCATTCGCAGGTGCACGCTTCTCATGAACCTTAGGGTTCACATAATTCGAGCTTCTCCATTTGACGTCTTAGGGGATTTTTAGAACCGTAGTTGTTTTTCAGAAGAACGGTATCACATCGGATCTACATAGGCGTTTCAATAAACGTTTATGTATCTTATTGTTTGGTTCAGCCGATTATTAAAAAATCGAGCATGCCTCAAAAATCGGGATCCTATTAATTTTTCCAGCGATTATTGCCTTATATGTATCCTACGTCGTGCTTACCTATTAGGACATACATGAAAATTAGTGATAAAAATCTTGAAAGATGGCTTACATGGTAAAGTAATATTACCAAACAGCATAATATTACTTATTACTTACATGGTAAAATCTTGAAAGATGGTCTTATATACATGAGAGTTTTTTCTTGAAAATCGGTCCAAAAAAGCGACCACCCTTCCAAACACAATGTTAGTGGAGATCAATTGAATTCCGTTTCCATCCATTCTCAAAGTTGCACGATATAATAAAAATAAAAACGCGAGGATGGTCAAATGTAGGTTGGGATTCCAAAACCACTGTCCCTCTAAGAATTTCAAATCCAACAGTAACTACCCTATTCAGGATTACAAACCTGCTCAATTGGCAGAATATTCCCCTCAAAATCCGCCGGTTTTAGGGTTCTGCATACGTCCGGGGAATTCGCTGCCCTCCTCTAAGTGATGCAAGGAATAATATTCTAGGGCAGCGATGGCTCCACTGAATTCTGATATATTCATATATTGCCATTCAACCTTTATAATAATAATAATAATAATAATAATAATAATAATAATAATAATTTACAATTCACGTATACAAAGGATTCGATTGGGTACTTTTTTTAAGGAGGACCCAATTTAGTGGCGAGTCTTAAACAGTGTAAAACACGTGGCAAGTTATTGGGAGATAGACTTGTAAATGTCTTTTGGTAGAACTGCTATTTTGATAACCTCGGTTGTTTGACAAATAGCAGCTTAAACGAACAAATTGTAAGTGTTTGAGATGTCAACCATTTCTATTCCGCCAGTTTCACCCTAACATCCCTTTCCATGTAGAAAAATGCGTCCTTTTATATATACTCGAAGATCAATGCAAGCTCTGAAATTCTACAGAAGTGGTACTCAAAAAAACCAAAAAAAAAAAATCTATGGATTTGCTCTGTTGCTTAAAGGGCTAATGTAAGAAATTCAGAGTACTGTGTTGAAATTATATGGGACCCCCTCAATTTGCAACATGTATTACAGTGTCTCTCTTTCCTAGTCAGCCCATGCACGGCGTTTGAATTTGTTATGTTGTCGGTGTTGTCCTTGGTTGAGGTTAGAAAATAAAACCTATTTGCCACGTGGTAGAAGGCAGCTGGTTTGAAACTTTTTTCGGACAAGCTGATGTAACAGAATTCACATCCTCCTCAAAGGGCCAAAATCACGGCTGGCTTGTAGCTCAATGGATTTATTCAAAATTTAGCCACGTAATCTCTCCATGTGGCCAAAAGAAGAAAGAGTCGTAGTAGAGCCATCAAAGCAGAATCTAAGCCTCAGTTCTAGGAGATGATAAACTTATCCACCCACTGTTTGATTTAATGTCTAAGAGAAGAGAGTAATAGATATATCTATATATAATTAGGTCTACTCAGGGTAGGGGGTAAGGAACCAAGTGTCTTGTCATAGGAGATGGGGGTTGGCATAAATGGGAATAGAACAAAGAGTGTAGCTCGATTGGATTGTTGGAGGGTGATACTTGAATTGATTGAATGATGATGGGATTGCATGCATGAGAGATTTATTAAGGGATTGGGAGATAGTCATCGTTCATATGACCTTGTACTAGTCGAGGCATTTAGGGACTTTGAATCACCGTATCATTATAAAGGTCAGACAGACTGAAGTCTGTGATGCTTTTACCCATGGTCCACTGCGTAGGCCGTGGACGCATTGCTAACCATGAATCAGCTTTTGGGCTTCAAGTGAAGAAACAAAGCTCTGCAGTAAAGATTATATTATATACAAATGACCACACGATCGAGTAACTGAGATAAGCTCAACAAAGATATGATATCAGTCCGAAGAAGAGAAGAAGAAGAAGAAGAAGAAGAAGAAGAAGAAGTGAAGAAGGAGAATCAAGTCTGAAGCATAAGAATCCAAATTGCATGGGTCTCTATTAATTCCGTCGCCACTCTATCTGCCACGCCCAGAGACCTACCTAGGCTTAAACGCCGTACGTCTTCACTCGTAACAAAATAGTCATTAACCCACTTGACTAGTATAAAAATAAAACAACTCCTGCACGTAGAAAATGACACACATGCAAGGAATCCTGTCTCCTTGAAAGGGTGGCAATTCTTGATGGGACCGGCCGGTCTCTCCCTCGTCCCTCCCTTTCAATATTATTACTACACCAATCCAGGTCAGGATTGATGAATGCCAACCTCCCTTTTCTTTAAATTTTGATTCGAATATATTTATATCTTCCACCATTTCATAAGCTGTACCCCGGTTTAGGTTTGGTCATTGTCCCTCCCTCTTGCACAAAGCTGAAAGGACCCACTGACCCAGTACCCATTTTTCTTCAATGTTCAATCCCATCTTAGTTCAGGCTTTTCAATTGACACGGGTTTGACCAGATCAACCGGCCCGATGCAGCTAGCTCATTGCCAACCCTTTGCAGCAAATTCAAATTCTACTGGATTATTCTTCAAGCAGCATAATAATTCTTTGACAAGTTTCAATTCATTCAAATTCAGCCTTTTTTTTTTTTGCAAGTGATCAAAGGCAAGGCTTTATTGAATAATGGGAACAAGAAACAGAAGCCGGCCGGTCATTGGAGAGTATGTCGGTAGAATAGGCGAATCCTTGAATAGGAGATACGTAGGAATATATATTCTTAATTCTTTTATTTTATAAGATGAAAACAAGTATGGGAAAAGCAATTGCTATTGACTTATCGTCACGGGCGTAGGAAGATTCCGTTTGGTTGATGCCATGAATGACAAGCTTATGAGACCATGAAAGGAGAATCTTCACTGACAGTACAGTAACACCCCTGCATCCATGGTTTTGGTAATATCATGAGCCCCTCAAAAGGACGAAAATTTCCATATTTTTGGGTAGAGTTTTCATTTATGTTTTGATCAATAATGTAAACATGAAATAAAATTCAAAAAAGAAAAGAGAAAAAATGGAAAATTTTCCAAATTCCAAAATTGACCAAACTTCAATCAAAATCAAGAACCATCAACCCAGACTTTTCCGGCCTGAAATCGAGTCATTGTCGATGGAATGAGAAATCCACGTTATTTTAATTTTCTTTTGGAAAATTTCCAGAGTTTTTGATTGTATTTGTGAGGCCTAGGCGTAGGTCAAAAAATAACACGATTTGATGATCTCATCAGATATCACATCTCCTATAGTAGGAGACGCATGGAATGCTGGGTCCTAGCTCAAGGGCAATGGAGGGTTGGTCTGGCGTTCCGTCAATCTACTTTTATTTAGACCATTTTCACAAATCAGTTCTACGCTGCAATCTAATCCAGCACAGCGCAATCTCGTCTTACAAGGGGACCCACCAAGACTCATATCACGTACGTGGGGTAGTCCATGTTGTACGTGGACGCGTAATTTGGTTGCTTTTCATGTGTTGATCAATGATCTATATCTCACGAGATGAACGAAGCCTAGAGCTAGAGGGAGTGGGATTTGCCGAGAAGAGATGCGATTGTCTGTCTAGTGCCTACAAACTACAGTCCTCATGTAGAAACTGTGCAAGTGCAAATTTTGAACTATGCAAATCACAGCTACAGAAAAACCAAAAAAGGGAGCTTCACCAAGGCAGCCAAACAAGAAAACCCAACACTTCGCCTTCCCAAAGTTGTCAAGAGACTCTTTACTTTTTTCTTTTTCCTTTCTTCCAGCTGATCGAGCTATTTCTCCCCATGATAGATTCTCATGTAGCTTTTCATGACTCCAACTTGGTTGCAGGGGTGCTCTCTTCCATGTAAAATACACATCAGAACTTCTAAAGCAAGCTCCTCGCTGTAGTACTAATCCATCTCTTCTTTGCAACTCGGTCGACTGCGGATGCCGGGTGGAAGTGCAATGGAGAGAGGACGCTACTGGACGTGGACGAAGGTGCAAGAGTGTGTGGGGTCCCATATTCAACCGTCCACGGCTTCCTTGTACAACGATTCATGGGAAGAACAAGCCTTTGCAGTCGACTCAGCTGGACATCTTGGAGGATGCATATGGCCCCCGAGATCTTATACTTGTAGCTTCTGCAGAAGAGAATTTAGGTCTGCTCAAGCTCTAGGTGGTCATATGAACGTCCATAGGAGGGATAGAGCTAGGCTTAAGCAATCTCCAACTTCCCACGATGAAATTCTTCATCATCACCATCAAACTCATTACCCTGATCATCAGAATCCTTGTACATCATTGGGTGTTCAATACCCATCTCAGCTTTGCACTTTGGTTTACAGTCCTAACCCTAACTCTAATCCAGGTGTTGTTTCTTCATCTAAATCGACTTCTAGGGTTTCGGCCCCATCTACTCAAGAGAATTGTAGTGAACAGGCCTTGGTTTCTCCCTCTTATTCTTCTTCTACTGTTCAACAACACCGAAAGGGTTCCCTTTTATCTCCCCCACCCTCGTGGTCGGACTCGGTTGCTGTTAAGGTTCTTGCTCTCTCGGATGCAAAGATTGAAGGGGAGAAGATACCGATTACACAAGAATCAGGATGCCGGGTTTCGGGGGATTACGCTAAGCCAGATTTGGCTGTGAGCCTGAATTTGGTTGTGCATCGGAATCGATCACCAGGGACGTCAGCTGGCGATGATGATGATGATCAGGAGACCATTAGTAGGAAGAGAAAGAGAACCGATACATCAACGTTGCCTTTCTTTCTCGAACCAAGTTCAGTTGATTTACGTCATCTTCAATCGGAAGTACTTGGAGTTTGCCCTGGTTCCATGGAGGACTTAGATCTTGAGCTAAGGCTCGGCCGTCGGCCTAAGGTGAAGTAGACTTGCAGAATTGATGCGTTTAAATGGTATTTACTTGTTCAATGTGTTCATCTCATTTTCAATTCGATCTTCATATACTCCTTTTGTTTTGCTTTATAATTATTCCTCTTTGTTTATTGTTTTTGGGTTTCTTTATGCCTTTCATCTTTTTGCTTAAGAGGTCGCTTTGTTGCCTTACTTCAAGTCATTAATTAAAGCTTGCTGGTTGCCTTAGAATAACCCATATGAAAAAAAAACACATAATATACGATCTTATCCATGAATAAAACTGACTGCACCTGTTATCGTTACATCTTAATTTGTTTCAGTCTATACTTAATTATCAATTTATTAGGTTCCAATCTAGCAAAAGTAGAGATAAATTAAGGTAGATGTTCTCAATTTTGTTATGAACAATAGTTTCATGCAACCATACCAGCTAACTGCCTTAATTCTCCAAGGAGAAACGAATTAAGGAATCACATTGATTGAAACTGGTATTTAGATTTAGAGCTTCTGGGGTGAAAAAACGCAGAGAGGACACTTCGTACTTTAATGAAGACCGAGTTGGCATTTGTTGTTAAGATAGTAAGAACTCCATGGGTCGTCGATCGTTCTCTTATTTTAGCCAGGTAAACTCATGGTCGTTCTCTGAGAGGGTAAATGTAGATGAGCATGTGTGTGGGGTTTAAGGGTGAAAACAACTGACGAGCTGCATTGAAAAACGTGAGCTTTCCCCTACTCAGCTCACTGACATTCTATCAGTACATCTAAAGTCTAAACTAATAATCCTCAGAGATGGGTTGTCAACCACGTATAAGTCGAATACATCAAAACATCGATTCCCTTTTTCTTTTAATTTGTATTATTATCATCACCAATGATCAAGTCCTTTTTGCAGTAATATATACTAATTGTTTTGTTTCAGTACTATTTCCCTTCCGTATAAATCCATATGCTTGAATACACTATTCCCCTGTTTTTTTCTCGGTGTTCTCCCTTCCTCCAAGCTACAAAAACGCCACCAACTGCGCTGAATCAGTCCATTTAAGTATTATCCATAAACCCTTTTTTAATCCCAAACAGAATATTGCAGAATATTTTGCGTCACCACTCATGGATGCTTTCTTCACGTCTTTTGTTTCTTCTTATATGCTTATTATTAGTTAATACATCGGAGTCCGGTCGACGACGAGTCCAAGATGTCCAGAAATATATCTTAGGAAAAAATAAATACTAAAAGCCCGAGAGAAAACCCTAGCCTACTCTAGTCTCGTAGTCGCAGACAGTAGCCTCTTGCTATTGATGCCCAAGGTTCAGTACAGGAAATCGTACAGGATAGAGCCTAGAGGGCGATATTTCTGTGTTACTTTTCTTCTATCTTTAAAAGGAAAATTGATGAAACATCAGTTTTGACCTTATAGATTTGGATATAAATTAACAAAGAGCTGTAAATATGGGGTCATAATGTTATACCCAGCAAATGTTTCCCATTAGAGGGATGGGAGCTCAAATGGGAATTGAAGATCGTTTTAATGATTTGAGTGTCTTTTTCGGAAATGGGTTTTCTTCTCTCTTTATTTTTCTTTGTTTTCTACGTTGTTTGCGACTTGTGACTTGAGAGGGAAGGAAGAGAGGGTTCTAGTTTGGTGTAAGAGGTGTTAATAAAGGAAAGGTAAGGTTGTTTGCTTTGGTCTCTACGAAGTGCTACATCTGTGTAAGAAGTGTTAATGGTGATTGGTTGGGTTTTGTCTTGTGTAGGGTTGTTGAGTTGAGTTGGGTCTGTTTTCTCAAGTAACAGCTAGCGAAGCCTGATGAGTGCAGAGAGGTCTGAGTGAGGTTCTAGGAGCAGTGACAGAGGTGCACATGGGCATCAAATGTCGTTTCTTTGTTAATTTCTTTAAGAGTAAAAGAATTCTGTAAGAGAATGAATACTTATTCTCACCTGTGTGGGTTTCTTTGTTTAGCTCATTTTGAGATTCCAACGTATTGATATATTGCTGACAATTCTAAAACTATAAAAGAGTATGAATTTTTAATTTATTCTTTATTATTTTTAAGACTTTTGACAACTCAGGGTATATTTGCTTGGGAATTCTTCCCCCTCTCTCTCTCTCTCACGAGCTCACAACTCACAAGAAAACTGGCACTGGAAGACTCTCTCTCTCTCTCTGGTCCATTCCATTAATAACATATATTTTGATTGCTTCTTAGTTTACTTTATTAATGATATATAATATCCCAGTGCAATCTGAGTCCAATTTTTATCTTACTCAAAAGATTTGATCCCAATCCACATGTTAGTTAATAGGATCAAATTCAGATCTATCCTATCCGTTTACGCCCGTGAGTTAAGATGTATACTTATGGAACATCATCCTGCCAATAGGCTATAAAGCTGTGTTTTCAAGTTCATGAAAAATGAAATTCAGAAAAAAAAAAGTGCTAGAAATAATTACAAATCCTGTCCGCCACCCTAGTTAAGGCGACCTAATTACTATTAGTAGCAGGCACACATTTGTTTGCAATTAATGCAATTTCATTTGCGTTGGTGCAAAAGTGTGCAAGTGAATTTTGGTTTATTTTTTTTTTAGGTTTTACTTTGTTCTATTTGTAATGCAAATGGGGTGAAATACAACCTCAAGAAAAGTAAAATGAGAGTGCAAATGGTCTGAGTGTATTCTTGTCTTAGGTCCTATGGTTCAGTTTGGAAGGGGTATAAATGCAAATATGTAGAGTGCAAAACCTTATATTTTGTATTATTTTGTATGTATTTGTACTGTATATATTTGTACTCTTTCCAAACTGAGCCTATGGCTGTGTTTGGCTGCAGTGCAAATTTATTTGCACTAGTACAAATGCATGGGAGTGCAAATGCAAAAAATGCAAATTCTTGTTTAATTTTGTTTTAGATTTTACTTTATCTTGAATCATGTCTTAATTTACTTCATTTGTACTGAAATCAAACAAAATAAGCTAAAATTTGAAACAAAAATAGGTCAGAATTTACACTCAAATCATTTGCACTGTCATGGTTTTGCATCTGTTCAAATTTATTTGCATTGCAACCAAACACAACCTTAGTACAAATGCATGGGAGTGCAAATGGATTAAGTGCAGCTTAAGCTGTTAGTTGAGGTCCCTAACAGGTTTTTTTTCTCTAACACGCCACTTTTATGCAAAAGCCCATCAAGTTTGAAGCATGGACACAAGTTCATGCCCATTCATACCTTGTGATGAAATTTAATTAATTATAATGGGGGCGATGAGGATCAAACATTATATCACTTGGTCAAATAGGTTTTGATACCATTTCAAGGAACCATTCAACCTAAAAACTTAAGCTGATAGGCGAAGTAAGTAAATGAGTTTTCATATTCTCTAATGGGAACAAAATAATGTCATCTCCAATTTATAAAAGAGAAAATAAAGGTAAGGAGGTTTTTTATTTGGGAGGAGTAAATAGTGAAGTAAAATGATGTATTCCCCACTTTATATGAGAGAATGGAGGAAGAAAGTGGTGTAAACTACCTAGATGTTATAGAAGATATGAATGAGGTTACTTTAGATTTTCCAGAAATGAAACCATTTCTAATTTAATTTTCACAACTGCAAGAAATATCGTGGAAAGGGTTTTGGTTGTGAGAAACACCAATTGAGCCTTTTGACAACAGCAATTGGACCACATTTGGGATCATTGTGTTTGGTTTGAAGGAAAAAGTAGGGAAAGGAAGGGATCATTGTGTTTTCCTTCATTTCCCTACTTTTTCCTTCAAACCAAACATAGCCTAAAGGAATAAAGAAAAAATACAATAAGAAAGAGAATTACCAGTAATTCCTCATCACAGAAATAATGTACGCAAATGGATAAGATTTGAATTAGATATATCTAGATTCAAATGGCCATGGGTTAAACATAATTTCTATGAGAAAATGGATAATTCATCCTCATGCGGGGGCGGAGCCAAGTATACTGGTAGGGGGTGCTTGGCCCCCCAAACTTTTATTGTTAAATCATTATTGATATAGGGTTACTAATGGGAGGTTGGGTCAAAATGTAATAAACTGTGTTCTTGGGCTCCAAAACTTGAATTAAAATGTAAAGGATCATATTCTAACTCTCCTCTAACCCCCAAAATAAAAAAAAAAATATTTATTTTTTCTTTAAAAAATATGTAATAGAATCAAACCTTCTCAAACCATTTTTTCCTATACCCTACTTCTGCTCCCTATGTCATTTTCTTGTTCAACTTGTGCCAATGACCATTTAGTAAACGTAAACATTTAAACCAACTTTACTAATTGATAAATATCAATTCTATGTAGATATAAGCATATGTATTCAGGCTGTGTTTGGAAATGATGCATATGGAGTGTAAATCCCGGTTCAGGGTAAATTTACATTCTAGTTCACTTTTGCTTGTGTTTGGCAACATTATTTTTGCATTGACAAATGACAAACCAACGCATATTTACATTGGTATTAAGATGTAAAAGTACATCAATAAAAAAAAAAGTAAATTTGCATTCAAGTGAGCTTTTGATAAATAAAGATATATGCTTTATTGGAATTCATGTTTGCATCCATTACAGCTAAAAGTCTGTTTGGTAAGAAGGTAAATTTGTCAATGCAAAACTAACCCAACTTTACAATTTATATGAACCGTTTTACACTCTACATATTTGCATTCTTTCCAAACACAGCCTCAAGTATTATTGGATCAGATTGATTGGATGGATCCATACTTGATCAAATTATAAATTGACATAATTTGGATGATCTTAATTGGATTGGATTTGAAACAAAAAGGCAAACTACATACCTAAATTAATCTGCTAAATCTGTAGAGGAGATCAGAAAAATATAACAACAACGTATATGAAGAGATGTGGAAGAATAGCATAATTTAATAGATGTGCCACCTATTTAATAGTAAAATAGTAAAAGTGTAATGCAAAATTTATGTGAAGTATCCGTTAAAAGAAAAATGTATGATACCGGAAAGACATAATACCGGAAAAGGATCTTACCAGTCACCACCCACCCGGATGAGTTTTGATGAAAATCTTGGTAACCACTTTTAGTTTTATGATGCTAGTTGATTGATTGTAAGTTTTTCAGT